AAAAAAGAATAAAATTAAGAATGGTATCAGAAATATAACTTTTAAAATGGATAATCTGTTAATAGATATATAAGATGCTGCATAAATGAAAGTTCATTAATAATAATAAAAATGTAAACTCAATAATTACCATAGTTACGTTCATCTATGAATATGTCAGTTACATATAAAGTTATGCAAATTTTATTTTCACTGTTCAGCTTTCAGGTTAGTGTGATAGAAATTGCCATCTTCTATTAAATCTTGGGTCTTATTTGTATTATTTGCTATACACACACCAAGAAATGAACATTCAAAATTGTATAGATAGTCCTTGTTTACTCAGCTGTTCGTATATATGAAGGTGATTCAAAAGTAACTATGATCAATCCTTGCATTTACAACTTTCACAGGTCTGTAAAGCAAAGGAAAGCTGAAGCAAAATCATAAGCACATTCATGAATTCACTTAATGACTGCTTCACTTAACAACCAAGTTGTTGGGTTCTAAACAATATTGGCAAAGCAAAGCAAAAAAATATTTCATGTCTTGCCCACAAGACATCCAGGTCCCTGGCACAATCTTGGCAGGTAGAAAGTCCAGCAGTTAAAAATCCCAGCCAATTGTTCCAAATAACAAGCTGAAGCTCAGACATATTTCTACTGTATGGTCACTGGTGTGACAGAAGAAACTTGGATTAATAAGTACAGCACATTGTGAGATCATGAAGTAAAAGAGCTGATAGTCCCCAATAGTCATATTTATAGTCATAACTATAGACGAGCTTACTCAGCTCCTCCATTTTTTATAATCTCACAGCTTCCTATTAAGCAGGACTTCCTTCTCCTTTTGGTTATTAACCTGTAACAAGGACATGGCTTTATCTTGCTTATTAACATTTGTGTATGAACATTAGGCTCCAGTCCATAATCATTAGCACAGAAATATCAGAAAACTAGCGGGGGGAATATGCATTTGTTATAACCCATCATTTCTTTTCCAGTATTTCTTTTCATATTTTACATAATATTGTTTCTCCAAAATATCATCATAACCAAAATATATCAGTCAATAAATAACAAATATGTATTCTTGGGTTCAGTAATTATGTCATTTCTTCATCAATTATTTCCCTGGGGGGGGGGAATCACTGTTTCCATGATACACATTGCTAGATAGGACTAACATCTGTTGTTTCGGAGATTAAAAGGTCTGCAAAGTAATCTAAGCATACTTTTTTTTACACCACAGATGCTATCACCACTTAGTGAATATAGCAAACTAATTTCAATGCTACCATTTAAAAAAAACCCACATTATCAATTTCCATTTTTTTTAAATATGTTGATATAATTACACACTTGGTAAGCATAGGAGTAATTTTTAAAATCAGTTTTACCCTTTTTTTTAAATAATAGCCAATAAGGAAGTTTACATATAATACTGTATTAAACAGTACATAAAGGCATAAATTAAAATTTTCAAACTCAATGGGGCACAGAAATAATTGTATTTATTACATGTATTAAATTTATATGTCACCCATCTCATGATTCAAGGCAACTAGAAATTGGGCTTGCATACTGCATAATTATGCTAATTATCATAGTATGTTTTTACAAATTTAGATTTCCTCAAAATCTTCGCCCTCAAAGTATCAAATACTCATTTATAAAAGCTATCATGGCCTCCCTACTAGTGGTAAATTTAAAGCACTGAAATATTACATTAATACAGAATTTTTCTGATTGTAGCATTGTAGTCTGATCCAATTATTATCAGTAACTCTGATTTTTAAAAAAAATATAATTTTATAATTATAATTTAAAATATTTGAAATATTTTATTATAGTTCTGGGAATTGTATGGATGTTTATAGTCTTACAGTTGTTTTAAACATGGAAAAAGTATATATTTTTTTTCATTAAAGCTGCATATATTCCAAAAGTTATTTTAAAATATTTCAGGCTACCTCTCTCTATTCATTAAAGTAGCCAAGTATCAGATTTCTATGCAAACTTGGGGAAAAAATGATACTGCTTTAAGACTTTCCTTTATCTTTAATGAGTCAGCTTTTTAAAGCATCTGCATCTATTTTAGGCTCACACAAACACCATTCAAACTGTGGGCTACTTTAATGAATGATATGCTCATGGAAGGACTGAAAAACTAATTTCCTATTTTTTTCTGAAGTGTACACAATCCTAATTTCTGATACTTCGGATATTTCCAATTTTAAAAAACCCGAATGATTAAATATTAAATATGCAAATGTTACTTCAAGGTTAGTAAAATTCATTTCTTCCCCCCTCCAAAGAAACCCATAGGAGAAAAACACTAAACATTTTGCAGATTGTTAGCTATAATTAACCAAAAGGTCAAATACTGAAAGGAAGCAGCAGATACCACCACAAAAGTAACAGATGTTCTTTGAGTTCATCTGGACAAAACAAGCATATGTGAAAGAAATCTGATACTATCATAAAATCAGCTGGTGTCTAATATAATAGCAGACCCTTATGGTAGAGGACTAATGTATGTATCAAACACACAGGTAATGTAACACATTTGTTTCAACAGAACATTGTCATAAGAACATAAAAGTAACTCAAAAGACTAAGAGTTTATTCAGCAAAAGCTGAAAATACATAAGAAGTTCAGCACATTTTAAATTATGTAAGCTATATTTCACAGGATTCACATTTTCTGTAAATAATACACTGATTAAAGTTACGATATAAATAAAAATGGAACAAATTGATTTGCCTATAAGTTGCTATGCTGACCAAGTCAAGAAAGATAACTGTCATTTTACTATTTTAATTTTAATATATAGGTTTTTCACATTACAATATTTTGGATAGGACAGTAACACATATAAAATATGGCCCAATAACTACAATGCAAGATAATCAGGGGCATATTTTAAATATTTTAATATTCTAAAGTATCCTTAATTGGAAGAGCCTTATTTCCATGAAAATGAATTTACTGCTATTATTTTTAAACTTTGAAGATACAAGTTTATTCTATATTCTGATGTTAATTGTTTATCAAGCATAATGTAGAAAAAAGCCTACATCATGCAAATAAAAGTCCAATTCACATGACAGGAATTCTAACAGAATCTTGGTAACACAAGAGTGTGGATTGCATGCAGACTTCCATGTGTAATTCCTTCCATACAGAGCCCCATTCGTTTTACTTTGAATAGTACACATACTCCATTGTTAGGGGTGGAGCTTGTAGTTAAGAGGCTGATTTGCTTTGATTTCATCAAATCCCTGAATTCCCTACTCTGGCTAAGGGCATCCTGTGGCATGTCTCCATGGGCTTTCCTCTAGTACTCTAGCCCTGCAGAGTAAGTTGGCAGTGTCCCATAATGTCTATCACTTATCTCAGTTCTATGCAGGCATATTCTGGGAATTAGGTTACCAAACCACTTATTCCCTTCCCCATTCACCAAGCTACTAAGGAACACAAGATGAGGATTGCCACAAACTCTGTTCTGAAGTGGGACGTCATGATGTTTTGTTTTTTCCACCATAATTTTAGTGTATTGTACTGCTGTTTTATTTGCCTCCCAACACCCATTGGGAACTGGGTGGCCTAGAAATGCTGTAAAATAAATAAATGATCCTCTATTGCTGTAAAATAAGTCATGCCCTATTGAAAAGCTCCAAGTTTCCAAAAGCTCCAAGTGGTGATGAAAATTTGCGCTTTCCTATTCCAGGAGAAAACACTGCATTTCACGATCAGCTCCAACCACACCAACCTTGGCATTATGCAAGAACAGCATGATTTGCATAAGCTTGCCTAACACAGCAAATACCTAGAGAGACATCTATATTCCCTCTACAGAAAAATGGAGCAATGTTTTTTCTTTCAGCCACTAATCTGCCATCCTCTTTTTTTTTTAAGGTTTAAGCAGGGTTAAGACTAAGGAAAGGAAGCTCAGCTGGAAAGCAGAAAAGAGAAATGTCAGCCTTTACAAGTAAAATAATCTTTCCTTTGCTGGCGGGTCTGCGTGAGGGAGTTGTGAGAGGAAGTTCCATGTCATACAAGACTGCAAGGCTTCATTGGGTAAACTAATTGAACTCAAACTAAGATTCTTTCAAAATGGCACTTTAGGGCATCACTACGGAAAGGCACACCTGACTTTAATAGGTCTTTATAACCCCCTCTCCTTTTTTTGCATTGGGAAAATAAGCAAAAGTGGTTGCAACTTAACATACAGTAAAGATGCTTGTATTTTTCCTAAACTTTGCAATGGAAACAAGGTGTTCTTTAGGTAAAAATGCAATTTGAAAGTGTGTGCCCCCCCCCCCACACACATATCCCTTTGCAGATAGAAAAGAGAGGTGGAACAAACCGAGATCCTCACTCCTTGCAAGTACCATGTACAACCTAACATTACATTCTTGGCAAACGTGTGTTAACCAAACTTTCTTTTGGCTTTGCTGCTACTACCGCTCACCCCACACTCCTGTTGACCCCGGTGAAAAGGGACTGGAGAGAAAACTAAGACAGAACAATGTCTACACTTAACGCATCCTCTGTGGCCACGTGATTTGCATTCGGATGCTTGACGACGACGGGCTCACACGTACGACGGTTGAAGTGTCCCGGAGTCCCAGTGATGGCCTTTTGGTGACCTTCAAAGTCAATGGGGAAACCAGATTCACTTAACAACCATGTGACTAATTTAACAGCTGCGGGTATTCCCTTAGCAACCTTGTGGGCACAAACGGTTGTAAGTTGAGGACTACCTGTACTTCTGAGGCAGGGAAGAGGAGTTCAAATTTCATTAAATCAGTGAGTATGACAGAGAGTTAGTAACTTATGTAGGGATCTAGTCGCTGGGAGTTTTGTCCCAGATGAGGGGAGGAGGGAAGGGAGAGAGGAGGGGAGAATGGGGGGAGAGGAGAGGGAGGGAGAGAGGGGAGAGAGGGAGGAGAGTAAGGGGACATTATACACTCTCCCTTCTCACTGACCCCCTCACAGAGAGGCGCAGCCCTCACCTAGGGGGCTCTCAGGCGTGATAGGGCTCCAGCTAAGCCTCTGGGCGCTCAGCACCACGTCGCAGCTCTTCTTCTTGATCTCAAAAATTCCCCTCAGGAGCGGCTGGTCCTCTTCGTCCCCCGCCGCCGCCGCCGCGTCGTTCCCTTGGGTGGGTTCTCCTTTTTCATCCCCGCTGGAATAGGCAGGGTTGGCGTGCCCGGCGCCTCCTTCGGCTTCCTCCGGAAAGACCTCCGGGGGGCTCTCGGCGCAGCCTATTCTCCTGGGTCTATGCAGTTGGGGCATCTCGTCCGCTCCCTTCCCTGCGAACAAAAGATGGGGGGGGGAGGCAGAAGCGTCCCGGCGTAGCGTCGCGGCCGCTGCCAAGGGAGCGAGCTGCTTTCCTCCTCCTCCTCCTCCTCCTCCTCGGAAGCGGGAGGGCAGCCGAATGAGAGGCCTAAGGCGCGTGCCTGAATAAGCGCGCCACCGCCGCCGCCCGACTCTCGCCAACTGGGAGAGAAAAGTTTTCTGGCGTTTGCAAAGCGGGGGTTTGGCGGAGGGAGGAGAGGGAGAGGCGGCATTCTAGTTGATCTCTGGAGGCCGGAGGAGGGATGGAAACCGAATGCCAACAAAACGGCGAATAAAAAGCTCATTTCGTGGCAACGTGGTCAAGCCCGCGAAAAGCAAGACAAAAGCAGAACTTTCTCCGGTTGCCAAACAAATAGTTGTCCCAAAGGTGCTTCCTCCGCCACCCCCCCAAGAAGCAACTGGACTTTCTGGTTTGTCCTTGAAGCTCCCCACCAAATAACAACTTAACAGTAACAAGAATTGGAAGGGACCTTGGAGGTCATCTAGTCCAACCCCCTGCTCACGCAGGAGACCTATACTAGGGATTCGAACCGCCGAACTGCCGACCTTTCTGTTGGTTGTGCTGAGTACTTCTTTCTGAGTAAATGTCAAAAGCCTGGCTCCAGGAAGGTCGGATTGAATTTCTGACAGAACCCAGGTGAGGATCTGCAGATGTAGGGCTCTTAATTTCATCTGTAGGCTTCAGTTAACAACGGTCATTGGGAGCAGGTCGCAAAGGGATGTAGTGGTAAAATGTAATCTCAAGTTACCCTCCCATGTAAGGCCATATACAGTATGTGCATGTCAGTAAGATACTTTATATACATGGGATTGGTGGTCCGTATTATTTTCATTTCTGGTTATCTGGGGGAAAGTATCTGAAAATGCAGGCCTCTGTAAACCTGTGCACTAAAGAAGAAGCCCATCTGTTTAACGTCCTACAAAAAAGGAATTCTTGTGTGAATAAATAAAATCAATACTGGATTTGGCCAGTCATCAAATACATCTATTTTTTTCATTAGCTACTTCAGGTTTTTGTAGCAAAGTGTGGAAAGAAATGTTCTGTGAAAAGCAAACAAAGCAGAAAAATTGTCCTCAGTGCTGTATACTATAATCACAAATCATTGGAAAGTGGCACTTGAAAAATTCACATATATTTGAAACATATAAAAATTAAGAATGGAACATTTTTGTTCTTAAATCGTTTCTCCATATTTTTACTGGGAGTAGAGAAACACTTGTGTTTAATTTATAGAAGTCATTCTTGTTTAATGCAGAGACAGTATCTGTGGGCATAGATGATAGATAGATAGATAGATAGATAGATAGATAGATAGATAGATAGATAGATAGATAGATAG